ACACGAACCTATACAAACGTTACATACAATTCCGCCGATTATTCATAATTAATACTATATAATAATTCATATTTTATATTTTTGCACCTCGCATACACTGAACTTGATGGTTTGTCACTCACTAGTAGGATGCTATGGATTCGAATAATTCGCGACCAGTTTCTTTGCTTTGGTTTCATCCAGTGCTGTGCATCCGAAACAAATTAGCCAGTGTCTTGCTATATGAAGATATTTGGTAAGCAAACATTGTTTTCACTGTCAAATACGTTCAGTAATGTAGGTTGGACAGTTGAGGAAACGATTTCCTCAACTTTTTGATTCAAAAAGGTTGTCAACCATTCCCATGATAGTAAGGATATAGTTTCTGATCCCGAAATATTGTCAGGGTTCCATGGGCGAACGGTATTACTGAACAGGCGTTGGTTATGGTTGAAGGGACTACCTGCGCGACAGCTCGAATATAGTTGAAAACTACTATATGAGTGAGTGACATAAATTACGCTTTGTCGTAAACTTTTTGCCATTTAGAGTTATTTGTTAGCCCATTCATGGCACATCACTGAGGGGAAATTAAAGTCGGCAATTGAGGGAAAAGTTCTTCCCAACGAGTTGCACGTGATAAATAGAGTAAGTCTTTCTTTTTAAGAAAAATTTCTCATTAACGATATTCTTCCTTTCTTCAGCTCTTCAAATCACCTGAAATACCACTTAACGCTAATTGTATTGTGTTGTCTCCTTTGTGATCAAACTATTATCTACATCAGTTCGATTTTAAAATGAATCTACCTATCTTCTACTTGCTATCCGTTTTGACGTCATATACTAACCAAGCTATTTCTCTCTCGGTTCCTGGATTGGTACCTTTGAGAAGCAGACAAATGCCTGAACAAACATCATCCCGTGCGTCATCAGCCGTCATCGCTGCGGAGCGCCGTTCAAACCTGCCTCGTGTTTTCCTTCCTGGTGGATATATGTCCCTACGGTAGGCAAATGGAGACCTTGAGTTACAGCCTGCCTTCTACTTTCTAGGATGGGTTTGACTCGTTATGTTTTGATCCTCCTGAGGTTTCTATATGTGCAGCTATTCATTCCTCGCATTTCAGTTGACGATCTATTTATTTAATTTCTTCTTCTCTTACTTCGTGATTTAGCTTCGGTTCATGCGAGGATTGCTTCGCTCTCTTTATTTCGACTTGTACATCCATTACTGACTTTGGACTTGCTCATCAAAAACTGTGAAGATGTAGGCGACGTTACCGATAAGTAAAAATTCAAAGCGTAATTAAAGCTTATGATATACCTAGAGTCAATGAATGAATATTTCTTACCGATTTGGAATCTTGTTCAAGGCAATGTAGTAATTTTAGTAGATATATTGAATTCCGCATCGTAACTTTTCTTTCCTTACTCTTATCTTCCTCTGTATTTGCTTTTATTTAATTTCAGTATTTTTAATTAATTTTCCTTGCCTGTTTATCCGCCTAGCTGCGCTTTCCTGCTTCGACAGTATTTCGTATGAACGTTAGGGTTTCGCAGTATTCGCCTCTTTGCTTCTGGTTGTTTTTGTCATCGTCTTTTTGGGTATTAGTGTCAAAAACAGAGTACCGAGATTAATGGTATCTGACACTTTGGCTTCTCAGAATGATTTAGGCCATGATCAAAGCCATGTTCTTCGTCGCAAGCAAATCCGCGTCTAGCAGCGGCTTTAGGGTCATTATACGCCTGCGACCATCCTTTGCTTTCCAAAAGAGAATAGTTTTTGATAGTACGTCATTTTTTCCGGATGGTTCTTACAAACCTCGACAGATGCCTGTCCCTGAATTCTTCAGGCAGCATCCTCAGGTCGGTCATATTTAAGATTTTTCTATTTTTTATTCGATGGAACTTTCAAAATGTTTCATAGACAGCACTGCTGAAAAGTGTCGAACATCTTCTGAAGATGCTTTAAAAGGGCTGATGTTTCAAGGTTGGACATCAGGTTTGAGAAGACGGTGACTTTTAATATTGTGGTTTTCTTCGCTGTCCGGATGGATCGGTCTTTCTGCACTTAAGAAAGTCGCCCGAATTTCACAGAAGCCAGCCTCAAGCGCCCCCTGTGCTTCCA